TCTGCTGACATTTGGTTCCATTAGGGAGCAATGGCTGGTTCCAATGTCCTGAGCTCAATTACTGAAGCTGAGCTGTGCTGTGGCACTGTGTTTTCAATTATTGTCTCTCTTCTTTTTTCTCTCAGTGCTGAGCCTGGGGGGAAGGCAGTCTCCCTCAGAAGTCCAATTCTGGCTTCTCCCCTGCAGCCCTTCTGCAGTTGTTCCCTTCCTGTTTTACATTTTCCACCATGACAAGGCGCATTTTGAAAACCGTCTTTGCTCTTAACCAAAGGGTTAACGCCTTGACCCTAGTGCACAGCCAACTCCTATTCTCTGACCCCTGCCATCCCACGAGAGAACCCAGGCCTTAGAAATGGTGATTCCTCTGGGAAAACTTATTTTTTCGAAGTTGACATTCATTATTCTTCAGACACTCTCCTGCAAATGGTCCGCTGGGCTTAACACAATTTCCACCAAGGAATTTGATCCCTCTGCTCTCCTAAAAGCTGCATGCAGTTAACTTCTCCAGTACCAACTGAAGCACACAGGCTTGCACCTAGCTCCAAAGGTCCTTAACTATTTTTGTTCTGGAAAATGGCCAGTCAGTGACCTCACCATTGCTGCATTGCTGAGACAGTTATTGTCGATTGGGAGAGGATGTGGAGGAGAAAGGGAGGTGGGTTTGCCTTTCAAGAACCCATGTGGGCTGAGCGAGGCAGCTCACACCTGTAATCCAGCACTTTGGGCGAGAGGATTGCCTGAGCCCAGGGGTTTGAGATCAGCCTGGGCAACTTGGCGAGACCTCATCTCTACAATAAATCAAAAAATCAGCCGGGCGTGGTAGCGCGCACCTGTAATTCCAGTTACTTGGAAGGCTGAGGTGGAAGGATCACCGGAGTCCAGCAGGTCAAGGCTGCGGTGGCCGGGAGCGGCTGCTGCACTCCAGTCTGGGCGACAGAGTGAGACTCTAACTCAAAAAAAAAAAAAAAAAAGCTGGGCATGGTGGTACAGGTCTGTGGCTCCAGCTACTTGGAAAACTGAGGTGGAAGGATCACCTGAGCTCAGCAGGTCAAGGCTACGGTGGCCACGAGCATGCCACTACACTCCAGCCTGGGTGACAGAGTGAGGCTGTGATTCAAAAAAACAAAACAAAAAACCATGCAGACTGTGGCAGAGCTTGGTGGGACAAGAATGCAAGAAACTGTTATGCTAGAGCCTGGCACTGGGGACGAGAGTCAGAGTTCAGGCCTTAAATGGCAGTGACTGGCTCTTCTCCTTGCGGTGGGATAAGAGGCCATTTCAAAAACTGTCTTGAGTCTCAGATGCCACTGTTTTCCATGCCTTACTCCAGCAGCAGTGGAGAGAAGAACCACTATTCCAGGAAGATTTTTTTTTACAGCAAAAGGAGGAATCTACTGGTTTGCATAATTGCATAGATAGGTGTGGTAGCTTCAGGCCTGGTTGGATCTAGGAGCTTATAAGAGAGCATCTGGACTCAGTCCCTCACATTTTCTCTCTTTCCTCTTTCCTTTCCCTATTCCTTCTTCTCACCTCTGCGAGCTCTGGACCTTTGGCGCTGGCTTCTCTCTCAAGCCACCCTCTACATGGGGTCCCTCAGCAACCCCGTATTTATATCCTTCCTGTTTACCACCAGCAAAGTCTGGCTGTCTTTCACATTTCTAAATGCCTAAAGGACCAGTGTTAGCCTAGTGTTGGCTGTGACACACACACACACACACACACACACACACACACACAAACTTCCTTTTCCATGAATCTCTGGTGAAGTTGGAAGACCTAAGGAGATGATCAACATGGAAAGAGGTTTGGCTATATCCATGTGAGTAACGACGCTGGTGTGGAGAATCACCAGCAATGGGAAGGTGAGTTGACACAGGCAGAGGTACCTTTGTTGGGGATGGGGGTGGAAGGAGAGCTTTCACGATTTTTATCGATTTTATTTTTATTTTTTTAGAGATGAGGTCTCACTCCGTTGCTCAGGCTGGTCTTGAACTCCTGGGCTCAAGTGATCCTCTTCGCCTCAGCCTCCTAAAGTGCTGGGATGACAGGTGTGAACCACTGCACTCGGCCCACATTCACAGTTTGTATTTGGAAGGTGATGTCTGGAAGTAAAGGCGATTAAAAAAAGCGAGGGTGGGGGAACTACTCTAAAAGCTTGACTTCTACATACTCTTCAGCCGGTAGATTCGAGCACTGATATCCTGGGTAACACATCCTCTCAACGTGAAGCAGGTTTTAACCAAACAGATCAGAACCCTTGGACTTTGGGTTCATGGTGTCAGGACACATACAAGGCAGAACTAATCCAACCACATTCCTCACAGTGGCCTTAGGGAGAGGAGGTAGACCTTGGACTGAGGTTGGAAGAGGAGGTTATGTATGAGGAGAGACGTATGAAATGGAAACTATTTGCTCCAGAGGACACAAAGGGTATTAAAAGAAAGATAAGTGACAGGGGAGGACATGGGGTCAGCACACTTTTATTTTTGAAAGACGGTAGAAGTTTGAGTGTGTTTCCACGTTGAGGGCAGAGACCCAGTGCAGAGGGAGAGACTGAGGCTGATGGTGAGAGCAGCACTCATCAGTGGCCTTGTAGATCCAGGGTAACGTGTGCAGGCTTGAGTCAGACTATATGCTTCCATTCCTGCTTTTCCTGGGTTCTAGCTGTGTGATCTTGAGAAAATCCCTTAACCTCTTTGCACCTCAGTTGTCTCTTATGTAAGATGAGGGTATTGATGGAGTCTACAATCCAATTTATGAGAACAAAGTGGTAAAGCAGTGAGAATAATATCTGGTACACCATAGTGAAGTTTTGAAATCGACATTGTTGGGAAGGTGTGATCAAGTTAATTATGGAAACAGCGCCATTGACAGCTGGAGATGGAGACCCAGTGGGTGACTGTGAATGTTTCATGGTGCCAATCTGTTTGTGAGAGAGAGTGTCTTCTTCAAGGCTGGGAGACCTGCAGGCAGGTGTGGAACTCTGCAGAGGGTTAGATTCATCTGCGGTTGGGATTTGACTATCATTTGAGATGCAAGGGCATACAAAGCTTTGGAAGGTTGGCGAAAGGATGCTTGATGAACTGGACCCACACTGAGTTAATTTATATTAAAGTGTCAAGCACAGTGCCTGATACATAGCAGATTTTCACATATTCTTTTTTTTTCTTTTTTCTTTTTTTGAGTTGGAGTCTCACTCTGTTGCCCAGGCTGGAATGCAGTGGCACAGTCATGGTCAACACAACCTCAACTTGCTGGGCTCAGGCGATTCTTCCACCTCAGCCTTCCATGTAGCTGGAACCACAGGTACATGCCACCATGCCCGGCTAATTTTTTGATTTATTGTAGAGAAGGTGTCTCGCCAAGTTGCCTAGACTGGTCTCTAACCCATGGGCTCAGGCAATTCTCTCACCTCTGCCTCTCAAAGGGCTGGGATTATAGGTGTGAGCTACTGTGTCTGGCTCATTCATTCATTTTTCATAGCAATTGATTGCTATAGATGGTTGGTGAATGAATTGATACAATTAAAGAGCTCATCAGGCACAGTGGCTCACGCCTATGATGCCAGCACTTTGGGAGACTGAAGTGGAAGGATTGCTTGAACCCAGGAGTTCAAGACCAGCCCGGGCAACATAGGGAGACCTCATTGCTACACATAATCAAAAACTTAGCTGGGTGTGGTGGCATACGCCTGTAGTCCCAGCTTCTCGGGAGGCTGAGGTGGAAGAATCACCTGAGCCCAGGAGGCTGAGGCTGTGATGGACCATGATTGCACCACTACCCTCCAGTCTGGGTGACAGAGAGAGACTTTGACTCAAAAAAAAAAAAAAAAGAAAGAAAGAAAAGAAGAGAGAGCTAATGTAGAACACAATACATATGCATATGTATAATTGGGTGTTGAAAAATACAGTCTTTTTAAAGCAGAAGGCCTCCTTTGGAGGGCTATGTGAAAGGGTTTCCATGTCATGAAGTTTTAGGAGATCTCTGCTTTTCCTTATTCAATATTGGATGTGCACAAACAGCGGTACCATGCCAAGAGCATCCCACAATTTGTTGTTCTGGCAGCAGGCTTTGTTTTGTGGCTTGGGCCTGAGTCAGGACTTCCTTGGATGCGGCACCAGAGCCCCTTTCACCACCTGCCTCATGGAAACTGGAGCCATGGTAGGGAGGTGCCTCTTGGCAAAGCTGAACCGGGCTGAAAGCCATGCTGCTGGCCTGACTGGGAAGCCGATCTCTGGTCCCTCAGGCTGTGAGAGCTGGATCCGGTGGGGACAGAGGATGGAGCAGGAGCCCCAGGCCTGGCTCTGACCCTGGCCAGTGTGTGACCTTGGACCTGGGGAAGGGCACACATGTTGGTTGAGAACCAGTGACGTGTTCAGTCCTTTGGCGGGCACCTGCCAATTCTTCACCTTTTACATTCATGTCGACTCTGGCAGGTCCGTGTCAGGGGAGATGCCCAGGCTTCCTAATCCTGAGTGCTTCATCTATGAATGGAGCACAGAGACATCAGTGGGCTTCAGACTGAGCTCCATGGATTCTGGAGTTTCTCTGGAAATACTCAGGAGTCATCAAGCGAGGGTAAAGGGACCAGGTGGATGGAGCTTAGTCCTCCCTTCTGCTTTGGTCTGCTCTCTACACTGGAGTTCCCTGTGAGCTTTTGCTTGAAGAATGGCTTCCAGTTTGAGAAACCTCACAAGGCCCTGTTTCCACGGTCCCTCAGCTATCTCCTGTGACTCTGATGACTGGTTCTCCGGCCAGTGCCTTGGGTTTATACTCCCTTTCTCTGCACTTCAGGCTCCCTGTCTGTAGAATGAGAGCTTGGGCCAGAGAAGCTCTGGGACTCAGTGTCTATAAGCCTGGGAGTGAAGTGGGTGTCAGTCACTTGGGCAAGACCCCAAAAGACGATCCCAAGCACCCTTGGCTCCGATCCAGGGCTCGTGTTCTGCTCCACTTGTCAGCAGCAAGTCACATTGCTTCTTCCTGTTTCTTCTTTCCTCCAGGGACTCATGAAGTGGCAGCTAAGCCCAGTCCTGTCGCCACCCGTCCACCAAGGGTCAGAGATCAGGAAAGGAAGAAAGGCAGCTTCACTTCCTCTCTAAGGATGGAATCACACAGCCGCTCTGGAAAGAGCAGAAAATCTGCAAAATTCCGGTCCATCTCTCGGTCCCTGATCCTCTGCCATGCTAAGACCAGTGACGACGGGTCTAGCCCCGATGAGAAATATCCTGATCCCTTTGAGTTGTCCCTGGCCCAGGGCAAGGAGGGAATTTTCCACTCATCTGTGCAGCTGGCAGATACATCGGAGGCTGGACCCAGCAGCATTCCTGATCTAGCACTGGCCTCTGAGGCTGCTCAACTCCAAGCATCTGGGAGTGACCGAGGCAAGAACTGTAGGAGGATATTCTTCATGAAGGTATGCCCAGGACTTGTGGGATTGAAAGAGTTGGTTGGTTTCTGGTGCCGTGTATGAGAGTCTTTGGATCCCTTTGTTCAAACGTCAGGAAACCACAGTTATAATTCTGAACAAGAGCAAGGTAAAAATTGAGGTAGAGCCTGCTGTAACTATAACAATGAGTAGGGTAGTGAATAAGGCTCAGTTGACACTTGCTTGAGAGATGTATTATGTCAGTCTGAGGTCACCTGAGCCCAGATCCCTGATGGAAAATGGTAGTTGTGGTAGTCAATATACTGAGGAATTCTCATCTCTAGACAGGCACTTTTGGGCATACCACAGGCAGGTCAATCATATCTTTCTTGTAGACTTACAAAAAACAGACTTATAGGGCCTGGTCAGAGTAGGAGGCCTAACTGCAAACAAGGTAAGGAATATAGGGTGAATGGGTTTGTGCCCTGAATGCTGACTGTGAACATTCCCAGGTGCCCTTTGCCAGTTTCAACATAGGCTGAAGGTGGCCAGTGGAGCTATAAATGAGGGAGGGGTAACTAAGTAGTGTTTGAGGACCTGCCAGCCTTCAGAATGTTTTCTTTTCCATTGGGTCCTATTTCAATTTTTATCATCAACATGAGATGGAAATTGCCAAGTACCATGAACTCCAGGCTGATTAAAGGTGTTGGTTTTCAAACCATTCTTAATCAAGCACTGTGCCTTCTATCAAAGGTGGGATTTTTCAAGGATCCAGCGGCCCTGAACCTTGGGGTCAGTGCTGCTTACTCATATGACCAGTCTTAAGACGTTTCTCCTATAACCTGCTGCTAAGCTGTGGACAGCAAATAGCAAAGACATTCAGTAGCTATGGAAGAGGTCTAACACCTGTGTGCAACATGGCTTCTTCAGGAGGAAAATCACCACTAAACACTATGGAACAAACAGCATCATGTAACATTGTACAGCATATCAGGAGGCTAGGCCTTCTAGAGGGAACCCCAAGAATCTCCAGACACAGACAGCATCCTTAAAGACCCCACTCAGCCCAGGCTACTCTGTCACCCATGATGTGACTTCTATTGATATGTCCTGAGCTCCCCTAATAGGGTAGAAGGAGGAGCCAGCAGCCTGCTGAATTTGGGGGAGGCTGGCCAGGCTCCCCGTGTGCCATGAATGATGGGAAAATCTCCAATCCACCAAATGCATCAATAATAACATCAATGTATCTAGATTAAAGCTCAGAAAAATGAAAATTTAAAAGTATTTTGAGATCCCATAAGACTCCTAGAATGGATCATGCACTTGCTTTTATTTAATTTCTTCGGCATTTCCTGAGCAGCTGTCAAGTGCTTGGCACTCTGGGGATCCAGTCCCTGCCCTCAAAGAACTTACTTAGAGTGGAAAATATACTCCAAGAGGGGTGGGAGAGGCTCAAAGGATGAAGGGAGCATGTCTCTGGGGGCGTTGTCATTCATTCCTTCACTCGGCAAATATTTATGAGCACCTTCTTTGCCAGGCACAGGGAGTGAGCCAAACAGAACCTGCCCCTGCCCTTTTATTCTGATGGGGTATATCGACAGTAACAGCTTGATATGTGATATAATATTAAATAGTGAAGGGCTATGAAGAAATATTAAGCGGGATAAGGGGATAGAGAGGATAAGGAGGGGCTACTGCCCTTTTTGTAAAGGTGATTACAGCCCCAGGCATGGTGGCTCACACCTGTAATCCCAACACTTTGGAAGGTAGATATAAGAGGATTGCCTGAGCCCAAGGGTTTGAGACCATTCTGAGCAACTTGACAAAACCTCATCTCTACAATAAATAAAAATATTAGCTGTGTGTGATGGCACACACCTGTGGTTCCAGCTACTTGGAAGACTGAGGCAGAAGGATCACCTGAGCCCAGCAGGTCAAGACTGTGGTGGCCATAAAGGTGCTACTGCACTCTAGCCTGGGCAACAGTGTGAGACTCCTACTCAAAAGAGAGAGAGAGGTGATCATGAAGTCTTTCATGAAGATGTGACATATGAGCAAGGACCTGAATGAAGCAGAGAAGTGAATCATGTGACCATTGAGGGATGGGCATTCCAAGCAGAGGGAGTAGCATGTGCAAAGAGTGTTCTAGGGAGCATGGGAGAGACCAGTATGCCTGGAGTAGGGAGGAGAGGGGAGAATGGTAGAAGACAGAGTCGAGATGGTAGCCAGGGGCCAGAACAAGGGCTGTGGCATGGACTTGGAATTTTATTCTAAGAAGGATGGGAAGCCACTGGAGGATTTGGAGCAGGGAAGTGGCATGACCAGATCTGTGTTTTAAAAGGAGCATTCTGACTGTTGAGAGGAAGATGGCACATAGGGAGACCAGCCAGCGGGGCTACGGCAGTAACCCAGGCCAGAGAGGACATGGCTGGGACTGAGGTGGCAGTGGGAGAGGCATTGAGAATGGCCAGGGCAGGGAATCATTTTCCAGGCAAAACCAACAGGATTATTGATGAAAGGAGTTGGCATCGTGAGACTGTGATAGGTATCGACTTCAGCTGCAAGGCCCAAGCACCTGGGGGAAAGGAGGGGCCGTGTCTTAACACATGGAAAGCAGGGACTGGAAAAATGATCAGGAAAAAGGTGAGCTGTTCTTTTCATGATACCTGACTTCACAAAGAGGGGTGGCTGGGAAAGGGTTCCAGGTGGAGGGACTCGCATGAGTGAAGAGGAAGGTGAGGTGGCCTGAGGGCTTATGCTGGCACCACTGGCACAGGCAAGTGTCTAGAGTCCTGGCTTAATACCTGTTCTGCAGCAGGGATGGACACTTGGGGAAGGTGAGGCAGCAAGGGGTGGGAGTGGACTTTCAGAAGGGCCTGGGAGGGACAGGGACTTCACGTTCTCATCTCTTTGTGATTCACCTGTGCACCAAAAGTTGGTTTAAAAAAGTTTAGCTGGTTGCGGTGGCTCATGCCTGTAATCCCGGCACTTTAGGAGGTCGAGGTAAGAGGATTGCCTGAGTCCAGGGACTCAAGACCAGCCTGGGCAACTTGGCAAGAACTCATCTCTATAATAAACCAAAAAATGAGCTGGGCCTGGTGGCATGTGCCTGTGATTCCAGCTACTTGGAAGGTTGAGGTAGAAGGATCACCTGTACCCAGCAGGTCGAGACTGCAGTGTGCATGCCACTGCACTCCAGCCTGGGCGACAGAATGAGACACCTACTAAAAAAAGTAAAAATGATAAATAAAAATAAAAACAAATTAAAAATTTTTCATAGCTTTTATCTCATTGCCGCCCTTTCCCCCAAACTCTGGGAGGAAGGTATTATAGTAATACATTATCTGATAATATAATAATACTATTATATGATACTATAACAATATAGTGGTGTTATTTCTGGAGGGCAGTATGGCACAGGGGTTTAGTGATGTGGGCTCATTCCGCTGATTCCTTGAGTTGGGGTCTAACTTTCTCGTTTACTAGCTGTGTGATCCTGGTCAATTCACTTTACCTCTCTGTGCCCCAGTTTTCTCACCTATTAAATGGAAAGATGTTAGTAATAGTATATACTTCCTATGGGTTTTATGAGGATAAAGTTATAGGCATTTTTATGAGAAAAATTCATCTAAAGTTGTACAGTGCACATAGTAGCTGCTTGGTAAATATTATTATTTCTAGTTTATGAGGACACTGATTCTGAATACTTAATGAGTTCAATAACAATTATTTTGTTTTTATTTTCATTTTTGATTTGGAGTCTCACTCTGTCACCCAGGCTGGAGTGCAGGGGCTGGATCATGGCTCATGGCAGCTTTGATTTCCTGGGCTCAGGTGATCCTTCCACTTTAGCTTCCCAAGTAGCTGGGACCATCACACTCAGCTAATTTTTAAAATTATTTTTGTAGAGACGAGGTCTTGCTATGTTGCCCAGGCTGGTTTCAAACTCTTGGACTCAAGCAATCCTCCCACCTTAACCTCCCAAATTACTGGTATTACAAGCATGAGCCAGCGCGCCTGGCTCAGTAACATTTCTTGAGTCCCTTCAATGTGCTAGACAGTGTACACAAGTTGTAGCTTTGATGATGTTCAGTGATGGAGACAGGGAGAAGTCAGATCATTCTTATTTCTGATGTGGTCAAGGTGGGGGACAGGCATGTCAAGGTAATCACAGGCACACTGAGGAGAGTGTGCAGCTCGATGTGGGGTGGGGTGTCCTGTGAGAGGTAGCTGCTAAAAGCAGGATATTCCAGGAAACAAGTCAGGTGTGGGGGCGGGGTGGGTGGAAGGACACAGGCAGGGGCTCAGTGGCTGGGGGGGGTTTGCAGGGGGCATTGGGGAAGGGGTGATGCAGTGAAGTGAGGTTTGAGGTAAGGATTCACTAGGACGGGCATTGCCTGGTTCAGAACCTAAAATCTGTTCCTTTTTTAAGGAGCACAGTTGATCCTTCTAGACCCACGGATGAATTCTAAGCAAGTGAAGGTTTCAGGTGTCTGTGCAGGTCCTGCAGTCACAGGTGCCAGGTCAGAAAGGCCAAAGGGGACAGCAGGTCCCCACATCCTTCCTGGAGGGGCCTTGAAGTACTCATTAGCACCCACCCACCCACTTCTCCCTCTCCCTGGGACCGGCTAGTCCATTCCCTGGGCTGCCTTCCCTCACCAGATTGGCTCTGAACCCAGGCGTGACTCAGTTGGCCCAGGCGAACTCTTCAGCCTCCAGCAAAGCCATGGTTTTGGTGATTTCAAAACAGCATCTGGAATGAGGCCCTGTGGCATCAACCTCTCTTCTAGAAATGCTTCAAATGAAAATTAAAGAAGAGGAAGTTATATAAACTGCCAACTTAAAAAAAAAAGCCTTGTTGGATAGGTTGTGTTTGGCACAACCAGGACTGAGTCAATTACTGCCCAGGATGTGCCAGGGCTGGGCACAGATGTGCAGAATTCTAAGTGAACACTTGAATCTGTGTTGTGTGTTAAGGTACTGATGGGGGTTCTTTCTTCTGGGGGACCTCAAAGCCAGGTTTCTTAAACTAACAAAACAAATATAGT